TTTTGCGCGAAACTGGCGTGCCTTAAGGCTGGCCTTCGTATATTCCGAATGTGTGGAGACCCCCTATAATTTAGGTTCGCCTCAAGGCCCGTCGCCCCGAGGCATGCCTTCGGTTTTTCCGTTGCGTGTGGAGCCGCCTTTAGGAATCAGCAACGGCTTACTACATTTTAAATTCTTTAAATGAAGCAATAATATACTTTTTTAACAAAATAAAAATCTACACAATTATATAATCTTTGAAATTGTACTTCATTTTTATCACTGACGAGACTGTTTCAATATTCAATAAATTCCTTTATTTTGTCCACTGTTGTGCCACTAGTGAAAATATTCTTTCGGGGTTGTCATTAAGAGTAGAAATGCAAAAAAAGTAGTACTACGCAATTTTCAATAACTTCGAGTACCTATAAAAGAGCATTCGATGTTTTAAAAAATTGTTACCAATGCTGATTTCCCTTTGAAAGTGTATCTTGTTGGCTTAAATTTTGACAGAAAAATTTTTAATTCACCCACTCAGTACCTCAAAACCCGGACTACCATTGAAAACCCGCCCGGACGCCCCCTAAACTAGGACAGATCCGGACGGATGGCAACCCTATCCAAAAATCATTCTTTTTTCTCTTTTTGTTCAAACCTCAGAAATAATTTAAAGAAGCTAAATGGAGAACTGAATAAGCAATTTTTTATACAGGGAGAATTTTTGATATAGGTAGTATATGCGTGATGCTCGGTCAAATCGCTGAAAATTCTACGTTATCAATTCCGGAAATGCTACCGGATCATTTCCGAAAATTTTGAACATTGTTTTTCTATGTAAGTGCAAGTTTTAAAAAAATCGGGCGAAGATAATTTAGGATAGGAGAATTGACTTCTGCAAATTAATTTCCCCAAGAATTGACGAAGATCCTGATTTTTCCAAAAACACCAGTTTTAGTCACGAATGTAGGTAATTTCTTCTTGAACGGATTTGTGAACAAACAAAATTGTAGGTACTTTTACCTACTATAGGATAAGGATAACGAAAATCCACACTTGTTTCGAAAAGATTGCACCTAATTTCCGCAGAAGATCAATGTTTGGGTAGAAGGAAACTTAACAGGGGAGTTATAGTACTATTGGAAGAACTGATAGATCCTCTGATCACACAAGCTTTGAAGAGTCAAAAGTGAACGACAAGGGTGGAGATATGCTTCTAGACGAAGAAAATTTGCACTTTAAGCAAGATCGCGTTTCGCCACATTGTTGACTATTATTGTTGGGGTATTCTGGTAAATGGATTGGCAAAGGGGGTGCCATCAGACATCAGAGAAGGGTCACTACGGTCTCTCGACTTGACTCCGCTTGCTTTAATTTTTTCGGGAACTAGTACTGGTAATTGGAGGTACGAGGTGAATACTAAAATCTAAAACTACAGTAAACCCTCCATTAATTCACCCTTGCTATTAACATGATCGCGTGTATTTTAAAATTTTTGATTTTTTACCATATCACCATCTGGTTAGTGCGCACACTCGCCTACGGCCTGCGCAAGATTCAATTGGGTTCAATCATTGTGTACAATGGTTCAATTATCCACAACAACACTGTTTCTCTATTTACTATACAACCATTGAATTTATAACTATCAAATTCAGTGATACAACTTAGTTGCTTTCTTTTGGCGATCCAAACGGTTGGGATTGTCTTGTTCTTTCTAAGTGTGATCTTATGATAATGATTGCTAAAATCGTGAACAAACTGAGCATAAAAGTTTTATGATCACGAATTCCTAACCTATATAAATGCAAGGATATTTTTGCTCGAATGTTAGGTTATAAGGTTAGTCAATATTTGTAACTGAAGAGGAGCATAATCGTGCAAGTTCTTCCACTTGTATTTAAATTATTTTCCTTTATCCTATCAAAGGCAATGCTGCGCGTTGAAGCCTGGGGCGGCCAAATTTACTTACGGAGCCAAAGTTTGATTAATTTTTCATTTTCGTGATTATGCGATCCTTTAAGTCTCGAAATGTGCAATTAAAAACATTATTGAACAATGGTACATTGTAGTGCACGGAAGTGATAGCAAAAAAACACACGAAAGTACCTATATTGTTTCACAGGTATAAATTATAGGTTAGTTTTCGGTGAAATAACAAACAAATGTGGGCTTTATTTTACGATCATTATTATCATTGAATTCATGCTTGAAATCATGATCGCGAATTAGCCGAAAGAAAGCGCCTCATGTGATTAGTTCAAGTTCAAATTTTCGATTTATTTGAACTACATTCATCACACAAACATTTGGACTAATTAAGGTGAGCGGGTTGTGCACATCTCTACTCGATGTAGGTTGTCTATCACCTGGTTGGAGCGTAAGGTCATTGTCGATAATAATAACAAAAAATCGAAGTTCTTTTTTAGTTTTCACAGTAGTTTTATTTTATCTTGAAATTCTACGGGCTTATCATTTCGTAAAGGGTTTACTTATTTAACCTACAATTAAAATGAGCTTCCTTTTGTAAGTACTTAGTTTTTTCAAGCAAATTAAAGAATCTATTTTTATCTTGTTTTGTAAAGTAAATTCACTGTTGTGTTTCTATTTTCTGCAGTGGAAGTCGTTCTTCGAAAACATTCAAGCCAAAGAAGAATATTCCAGAAGGAACTCATCAGTATGAGTTAATGAAGCATGCTGCTGCGACTCTAGGATCTGGTAACTTACGGTTAGCGGTTATGCTTCCTGATGGCGAAGATCTGAACGAGTGGGTTGCAGTTAATAGTTAGTTATAAGATGTACAAACATGCACATCATTTTATTGATAACATTGTAGCTGTGGATTTTTTTAATCAAATTAATATGCTGTATGGTACCATAACGGAATTTTGTACGGAGGATAGCTGTTCAATAATGTCAGCCGGTCCAAAATACGAATACCATTGGGCTGATGGCCACACCGTTAAGAAGCCAATTAAATGTTCTGCACCAAAGTATATCGATTATCTTATGACGTGGGTCCAAGATCAATTAGATGACGAAACTTTATTTCCATCAAAAATAGGTCGGTATCCTCTTGATTGCTAGAAAATATTTTTAATTTGGATCATTCGTTAGGCGTTCCCTTTCCTAAGAATTTTCTATCAATCGCAAAGACAATATTAAAGCGATTATTTAGGGTTTACGCACACATTTACCATCAACATTTTAGCGAAGTCGTTCAACTAGGCGAAGAAGCACATCTTAATACATCTTTTAAACATTTTATTTTCTTCGTACAGGTAATGAGGTTCAGTGATTCATTCAAAGTCCAAAAAGTAACTTTCTTTGTTTTAGGAATTTAGTCTAATAGAAAGGAGAGAGTTAGCTCCATTACAAGAATTAATAGATAAGCTTACGGCCAAAGAAGCACGATGAATAATTTTCTACTAAACTTCTTACTGCACATTATATTTGCACATCTACTATGACTGCTATCATACTTTTGCAATTTTTTTTGAATGCATAAGTTATTCTTGTCCCCAAAATGTTGTGCACAATTATTTATATTTGTTGTAGTATCAATTAATAGCTACATATACGTTTGATATATGTGATGACTATTTTTTGCTAAGTAGAAGCAAATAGAAAACGTTTGCAGTATTTTTTACACATTTAAGTATCTGCGTTTTTACAATAGTACAGGCCTTCAAACAACAGGCAAATCCAATTCGTGTGAAGATAATTATGGGAGCTTATTATCATGTTAAGTGCAATCGAAATTATTGGTATTACCTGATCGAACAAAATTGATTTGTGTTCCTACTTTTCCAAGTACTTAGATTTAAACAAAATATATTGTAGTATTCTTACGAGTATGTTATTAATTCCCCAGCGCTTTTTTAATTGTAAACCTATGTATGCATTTTCTCGCGTATTTAATCATAGAAATTATTTATTTTTAATAATGTAGTAGTTTAATACTTGCGAGCTTTAAAAGTTCCAACGTTAATAAGAAATGGCATTATTTTTAGATCGTTTACATCAAATCTAATGAATAATAACTAACTGTGAAGACATTTTCTTGTTCTTGACCAAAGTAGGTAAGAATACCGTTGAGCTACGTCACTTTATGTATATACTAAATATATGAATTATACACTTTCTCATTTTATACATTTGTGTTTATTTTAACTGCACTTGACATGTATTTACTTTGGGTTTGTGTTTGGTCTTACTTAATAAGCATAGTTTCTATTGTAAAACTTCTGCTCGTGTTGACCATAAAAATCAGATCATTGCTCATTCTTCCTCTTTGGTGCAAAGTGATAGTGGAAGTTATGGCGTGGCAGGCAACTGATGCGATGATGAGAAGATTTGCGGATAGTGATCTCACCTGCAGGGTTTATTGAAAAAGTGTAGTTAATTTATCCTCGTAATTTAGGCATTAGTCCTCCATTCTAACTAATATGCTTAGCGTTTTCGTTGTATCCTTGGATTAGTTAGTATATAATTTCCACGTCCATTGAGTTTATCCCTTCGAATCTTGCAACTTTTATTTGAAACATTTTTCGATAGCTCTTTTTTTACTAAAATATTTGAACTTTTTAAAAATGTCGATTTTCACTTTTTTCCAATTATCTACGAAACAATTAATTTTTTTCAAAATTTCGCATTGGAATATCCATTAGCGTCAAAAACTACACAACTTTGCCAATTTAACCGAATCGTAAGTGTAATAATAACACAGATACCCATGTTATTCTACTCAATTTAAGACACCCTGTATAGTGTAGTATATAATGTGAGGTTGTACAGGGTGCGCCATGTTTTACACATTTAGTGTATTTGTAGTAATTTATTGTTAGTGCTATCAAAAAAGTAACATAGGCGTCCTGTGCTCTTTTTGGGTCAAACTTGAAATGCTAAGATCAAAATTTAAAAGAAGTGATACAACCTTTACTTACCATACGTACTGCCTGTCTTCTAGACCCACTAACACCTTATCAAGATCAGCAAAACCTAAAGCTTGCAAAACACTCCAATGCAAATTGAAAATAGCAACTTTAATGGAAACAGTTCAATAAAACCATTGTATACAAATAATCTAAAATGTCAATAAAATTAAATTCAGCACTAATTTATAGCAGTTTTGGTTGCTTTTTAATAGCAGTCACGTCTAAAATTCGATCAAAGTGTGGCTTCGGTTCAAGAATGTGAATTGGTGCAGAAACTGCTTCGGGTTTTTCTGCAAGCAAAAATAATACATAAAGCAAATACATAAGATAGAGTACATACCATTCAAAAGATTGTACTTTTGCATATACTGGACGGTAGCGATAGAAAACTCTGGCCTTCTTTTTATATTTGCTGATTGTTTCACATTTTGATAACCCTGTTTATTGTGCGCTACTCTAGTTAATTGATCATTGGGCAAGTATTTCATTAATAGTTGTTTCACAGCAAAACTGACGTCATTTTGGTTACACATCGAGGGCTCGTCGAATCTAGATTGAGAAAAACCATGATCGTGACTAACTGTCGAAAATACGTTGATTCGTATATTGCCTTATGAAAATCAAGTTCGTGCGCATTTGATTGAAATTACATGGATGATGGAAAGAGACACAAAAAACATATAACATAAATAATAATTTCCTACAAAAAGTCTGCGACAGTATACCATCTTTAATTGTTTAAGAATAATAAGCACTAATGTACACAGGGTTATTTAGACAGCGCCTTTATTATAAGAGATAGAAAAGAACTTTAAATACGAAGGTTGTGCGGTTTATCATAAATCGCTAGAAAATGTACCTAAAGTAAAAAAACAAATAAATATCGCAGTTAGTAAAAAATTCAAATTTGATCAATTTTTAATGAAACGCCCTATATATATGTAAAAGATTCACTAACGGTATAGAGGATTAGGGGTATTACACCCCTTAATTAAACACTATACGACAATTTACAATGGGCGTTTATTGAACAGTAACAATGGCTCGATACATTGCTCTATTTCTCGACCGTCTTTCTTGGATGTCGCGTACGAAGTCCCCATATGTGGGCCGCGCTCCTTCGCGCACCCCTTGGTATAATAAAGCTGCCTTAGCGAGCCGTAATAAAACGTGATGTTTTCATGTTTCATGAAGTTCCGCTTACATATATCAAAAATTGAATAGAATTGAATACATATGTTGACATTTGTTTTAGCCGTTTTTAAATGAGCATGAGTTTATATTAGCAATAGATACTTTATGCTTAAATTGGATATAGTCTATAGAAAATGTATTGGAGGTAATGGTGATCACGACTCACGAGTGATCATATCCAACATATACATTGGTCAAACCGTTTAGAAGTATTGAAATAGATCGCTTACATGCACAAATTTAAATGCTTATTATTCTTAAACGGTTCAAAATAGACATATGATGTCACGGAGTTTTCTTATGAGAAAATAAATAGTCAATGTAATGCGCGAGGAAATGAGCGTGACTGTGATTTTTGTAAGAAAACACCATTACACTCAAAGAGCGCAAATGTTGGTCGAAATATGATCTCTGTTTCTTACGTTGCATCGACCATAAAGTAGATTTACTTGGTGCTTATAATTAAGAGGTACTCTTCCCTTATTGTACACAGTGGTTGCTACTAATTATTGAAGAATCCTAACCAATTATAATTTATAAATACAAATGTGTTTAATAATAGTACCTTACAAGTCAAATTTTAGTAGAAGTTACTGATACTTACTCATCTGTGGCTTCAGTAGATGGTATATGCACTCCAATACTGTTTAAATGTTTTATCGTCGCCTGCTTTACTTTTCTCATCATTTTTTGTTTCCTTACATCATTTGAGTCTAGTTCAACTTCACAAGGAGGAATATTTGTCGGTTGAATACCAGATTTTTTTAATATATGATTCACTTGCGCCTATAAAAAAACAAATTTGTAAAATAAAATCATGGTACTTATTTTGGATTGAGTCAATATTTTATGCATCAATGGGAAATCGAGAGGGCGAGGATTAATAAACATCAGCCAAGAACTTGTATAATCGAAAATAAAACTAAACAAGCACATCAATAATTTATGTAATTTGGTGATAAATATAGTTCCAAATAGAAAAGACGAACATGTAAGTGGAATCACTTATGCTGGGTCACTTTCTCTGTCTGTCCCTACTGCTAAGTCGCTATGCAACGTATTTAAGATTAAGATCGGTATATAAAGATTTGCCAAAGTCATATATGATACAAGTAGATCGCGCCAGCGGGATTACACATATACATACAGGGTCTCCCACGACTAATGTCGGCTATCTCTATATCTCGAAAAAGAGATCTTGGAATATTTTGAAAATTTGAGAGCATACTAACGTCAATAAGAGGAATTCATCTGAAATATTTTGTAACTTGGTGGCACTTTCCGTTATACAGGAAATTTATGCCCATTTGTTTATTTTAAATGGAGCACCCTACTTCATTTTTAGATTCTACATAATATTCTATACAGGGTGACCATTTGAAAACGAAACAGAGCCTATTTTGGGAACCTCAAAACATTTACGAAAAAATCCTCGGACCCGTCAATTTTTGATTCAAGGGGGAACCATTTTTTGGCTAATTTCGCCCCCCTAAGGGCAAAGCCCTAGCGGGGGTGACAAGTGCTCCCAAAATTTTAAATCGAATGGGGGGTCGAGTGATAACTTATTTTGAAGGTATTTTTATGTGGATTATAACCCTTAAGTTTTAAATCGCTACTAATTTGCCTAGCCGATACAGGGGCTAATAACTGTTAAAAACGTGTCAACATTTTCTTATGAATTACAATGCTTGTAAATGAATTAGTTAAATAACAAAAATTAATACAACAGTAAATACAAAAAATGTTGTTCTCCTACATTCTGAACCGTACTTTTTGTTGTTGTTTTTTTTTCTTTTTAATACCTGTAG